AGTACCAGGGTGCTATACTTGTATATTAAGACATATCCATGTTTTTATGTACTTCCGTGCAGCGGAGGTCATGCCCACTCTTATAAATTGCCTATTAACACAGTGTGTTCATAAGTCAAGTTATAACCAAAAAAAAAATTAAAAAATTATATCGAAAAAAATTGGAATTTTTAATGACGAGCGTTGTTCCGAATAAGTTTGAAAATTAAATTATTTACTTTGATAATATTTAAACAATTCAACTTAATCAAAACTATATGAGTTACTGTATAATGTTATTGAGAGCATATTTGTTCCAACGGAAAGGCAGATAAATCAATTTTAAACCCAACAATAAATAAAATATCTACAAATAACATTGAATGTTTGACTTAAATTTCGGCTTTATTATAATATTTTTATAAGAAGTCGAATTGTAGAAATTTGCATAAAATATTATTTAAACACAAGAAACAATTTTTGTTTTTATTTACCACGTTTTTAAAACCGACTATAAAATATAAAATAATTTCTCCTAACCCCAAATAGATTGTCTTGAAAATTTGTGATTTTAAAAAGCTTTTAATAGCTATGAAAATACCAGTAGTAAGATTTAAAACGAAAAACGTGGGATGCATGCAATAGATAATTGATACATGAACGGTTCACCAAATAGCTAATAGTCACTGACAATTATTTTACTACACTGCAAATGATATAAACTGTTGTGTTGTTTTTTTTGTAGTATTCTATACAACACTACGCCCAACGTTTTTCAGTACTTTTATAGCCACTAAAAATGAACGATCACACATTTTCAGAACAATCTATATGGGGTTAAATTAATTTATATTTTAAGTCCGTTTTAAAAACGTGGTAAATTTAATATATATATTTTTTTTAATTTAAATAATTATTTTCTGTTTTTTAGTATTGTGTGTGTGTGAAATTGATTTTATTTCCAATAGTAATAAATACTTGTGTTAGAAGAAGAAAATACAAGTGTGGTTAATGATTTTCGGTGCGTTAATAACACGTAGGTAGTAGATACACACACCTATACAACATGTGTCTGAGTAGAAAAAGAGAGGCTCATTAAAGCATGTAGTCGCCATTTTTGATGCAATAATATGATCAGCAACCCGAGCAAGAACGTAACGAAGCGTCGGCTAATTTGATTTTAACCAACCCCCAGTATGTGTGTATATCACCCAAGGGAGAAAATATCTATTCTTCACACACACACACACCTTCCGTCGTCCACAGACATAATAAACGTCCATTAACACATTGTTTAAACACACCGTGCTCGTTTCGCCAACACAAATACTGATTGTGTCCTATGTCGGTCTATATACCTATATTATATAGACGGTATATGAAACGACGAAAAATCATATTTTTGTACACATTTTGCACGTTTTCATGATCGGGCTAACTTCTAAGTATAGTCCCAAAATTGCCAGTCTATGTGTTTACCATCATATCCAAATTTCGGGTCCTAGAGATCAAATTTAGCCTTTGTCGGATAAGTTTTCCGGGTGCTTTTCTTTCCCAGGAACCACGCTGCTACCGACTTGGCCGTACATTTTGGACTTTGGCCGAGTATTGATGATACAACAATAACCATCGTTTTTCACCGGCCGCCGAGTAAGACCTGTCTCTTAACAAAAGCAATATTTCACAGGAGCCGCACCGAGACTTAGCCCCGTACATGTACCTATATACCTATACGGCCGTGTAGGATATATATTTTATTATAAGTTGCCGTGGAAAACGATAAACAGCTTAATACTTGCACACTGCAGAGTCTGCTATTGGCACGTGACCGGAATGGCCAAAGCACAAGTCGGCGGTGTTTGTTTTGCTCCGCAGGCCGTGCGGACTCTGATTAGATCAGATCCGCCACTTATTGCCCCGCCGGTGAAGCCATGTTGGATATTGTACACCGCTCGATATTTTCTCGACAAGGCACATACAGTTTATGTATTATTTATGTATGTAATATATTTTGGAATTCGGATTATACTCACATATGTATTAACAGTCAAAGTGTAATTTCCCCATTTTTCTTTGAGCGTTTTCCTTAATAAAAAAAATAAAATAGTTAAACTAAAGATTCCCGTGGCCATCGTTTGTAATATTACATCAGACTTATTTTCAGATCTTTAGCTCTAGGACTACACCTAAAAAAGAGACACGAAGAAAATTTGTCCACCTCTTCTAGGGGCCTTATTATATCTATATATCTAGAGCCTTTATTTATAAAACATAACGACTCAACAATTACATAATTTATTTATTTATTTATTATGAATATACGGGCTGAGTCCTTTTAATACAATTAACGAATAAAATAACAGGTAATACAGTATAAAACGGTTTAAAATATAATTTAGAAATAAAGATATAAAGCTAAAGGTATAACGAAAAAATGAAAAGTATTATAAAACAACGAGCAAATAATTTACAACAGACAAGATTACAAAATGCACAATTAATAATGATATTATAATATAATTATATATGATTTAAATGAGAAAGGTGGGGTCCGTATTGGCATTAGACATCATACGTCTTATAGGTTCATTTAACAGGTAATTGGCGGTACACAGTGGAATATGGAAACTCGAAGTGGAAGTAGAGGTGCGTTGAGGAACTTTAAAATGTATACAGGACAGTAAGGTTGGAGAATCTACTCCACCAGCTAACAGTCCTTTCAAGAAATTTGCACCCATAATTCGCCTGCGTTTCGCTAATGAGGATAAACCAAGTTGATTGGCAACTGGAGTATAGTCGTGAGGTGCACAATTGATACCCAAAAAGTGACTAGTAAATAATATATCAAAATAGACATAATGGCCTAATAGATACACGGGAACATAAAAGTGGAAGACTATAGTAAAATAATTTATGTACAAATAGTATTATCAGTAGTGCAACCAGCGCTCAAGAGAAAATCAGCAAATAACAGTAATAATATTCGGGACCGAATTAAAAGGATCAGGATTTGAAATACCATTGGCTACTAGGAAATCACAAAAAAAAGGATCCTGTTAGATGCGAAGGAAAGACAATCAAGTAAAAGCAACTACCTGCCAAAAAAAAAGTTTCATAATAACGCGGTAAGCGTTTTTAATTTTTTTTTGTGCGTTTATTCAACAACAATAAATCTATACAATTTATATACGGCAACGATGATGATGCGCAATTTAGTGGCACGGTATTTTATTATTTGAAGTCTTAATGCGTGCCGGTTGTTCGGTCGGGTAATAAGTATAACGAGAGGAGCTCGAGAGGGCTGAGGGGTTGGTGGAGACGGCGATAGGGAGAGCAATCGTTCTAAATGGATGGTTTTCCTCCGTGAGTACAATGTATAAAACCAACGGAAACCGTATAATATACGACGGAATTATTGTGAACAGTCTGAGCACGTCGGCACTGTCAACCGAGTATGAACGGCCAAGGGATAACGTGTGCGGTATAAATGTAAATTACCGAAAGCCAAGTCGAAAATAATCAGCTAGCGACGGGGGTGAGACGTTTTACGGTTCAACCCCTAATCCGTTTACACCAACAAAAAATGTTGGCTACAGATTTTGAAGAACAAGTTGACTTTTTCAACTTATGACCCACCTATGTACGAATGATTGCTGATCGATAGTGATGCCACTCGAGCAAATCGGTTTGCAGAAAAAAATGCTATAAGTGCCTTTAGTTAGATCAAAGAGAAATCATGATGACGAAAAAACTCTTCAAAAGGGCATAGTACATAATATTACAAGTGATTTTTTTTTCTAATAATGTCCACGTTATGTTTATAACATGATATTATGTTTACAGATATGATCGACGGACAGTTTTTTTATCCAGACCCCTGTAGCTCTCCTTAAAAAGTCGGAAGCTTCTTTATCGTATGGGCATATAGAATATACTTTTGCTTATGTCTACCTATTTTCCGACAAAGCCAAAGTCGATTTTCTGCCACCATATAAACCTGTGATTAAATGTTTTCAAACTCTTAATGTTAATAACTGTTAGCAAACACTCCCTTCGTTCGTCGCTAATGGTCTGCAGTCTATGATGACTAATCCAAGTCTAACATAAACAAACTTTTAACACTAACCTAATTTTTTGAATTTGAATTTTTCGAATCTGACTTTTGGCAAATAGATATCAGCGGTGGAGAAGAAAAGCGAAAAAAACCTTCTCGGCTCCGGATAGCAGCCAAAAAAGTGGGTTAAAAAATACAAAAATTTATTTGGGACATTGGAACCTTTTCGGTTTTCCCTATTCAAACAAAAACCACCGGACCTACTCCGTCACAGGGGAAGTGCCTACCTGCGTTATAATATGGTGATAGTAATAGTAATAATAATAATACACAGGCAGCTGCGTCGGCAAACAGCCATCGGTCGTCGTATAAATGACGGGTAATATTATCAAATCACATCGTTGTCGACAAACGGCAAATGAATAAGCCAAACAAAAAAAAACGGCCGGTGTATAAGAAGATACTAACAAGTTGTTAAAAGCCCGTAAACCGGCAGCCCGCAACCCCCGCCCACCCTTTTGGCCGTGCCCACCCCGGCCGGCAACGCGTGAGTCGCGGTGGGCGCGGCCTCGTAGGGGCGAACCGCCGGCCAATAAGATCCGTCGGTCGGGCTCACCCTTTTCTCCGCCGCCGCCGTCGCCGTTAAGTAGCCGGACGCGCTTTTGGCCTACGATTTTCATTTGTATTATTATTATTTGTATTTTTTTTTTTTTTGGCCCATTCAATCCGCTCAACCGTTCGACGACGGTCGACCACATGCGCGCCGAACGCCGACCAACGCACTTTACCGTCGAACGCCGTCGATAATTATTATTATTATTACCCACTATCGTTTTTTTTATTTTTTGGAAGTATAAAAGAACGGTAATAAAAAATAAAAAAGGTCGTGACGAAATAGAGGGAAAAGTATTTTTCGGGTTGAAACAGATAAAATAAAAGACACCTCTCGCAAAGGCCCGGGGTGAACATGTCGCGAACGCCGGACGCCGAAGAGAACACCACCACGTGCCGGGCCAGGGCACGGTACTCGGCCAGTCCGCTGGACTTGAAACAGAAGCCTTTGGCGGCGGTCAACGATTCGCCGCCGCCGGTGCCGTCAAAGACCAACAACAGGACTTCTTTTTGTATCGAGGCACTGCTAGGCCGAAGAGACGAGCGGCCGGTGGCGCGGAAAACATCGCTGACCACCGGCTCGTCCGACTGTAGCACGACGCCCTGCTCGAGCCGGAGCGTTTCGCCGGGCCCGGAACAGCTGCTGCCCTACGACGGCTATGACGACCGGCAGACCAGCGGCGATGAGAACGACACCGCGGCCAGACCGTCAGCGTCGCCGCCGCAGCAGCCGCCGCCGCCGTCGTCGTTGGCCTACGGCAATCCGCAAAGCTACATGGCTGACTACGCGATGGCCGTCCGGCAACGCAACGGTGACGGCACTGGTTTCGGGTTCGTGGGCCACGGTACGTCAGCCTTTCAACCACTACCGCGGTCGATGGACTCGACCGCGGTCCAAGCCGCCGGTCCGGCCACAAACGCCGCTTCCGCGGCCACGGCCAACCGGTCCAACGTTTCGGCGGGCCAACTGCAGCAAATGCAACTCGAGTGGTTCGCCAGGGCTGGAATGTTCTACGCCGGACCCAGACTGCACGACTTAACGGGTAACGTTGGATTTTGAGTTGTATAATTATTGGGTTCGTTCCCGTGGGATGAGTTATGTCGGAGAATGAAGGAATAGCTGAGAGATGTTGAAAGATGGAGATTGTGGAGGGAGAGAGAGACAGCATGGCAGATCTCACTTCCTGTATTGGAAAAAGATAATATTTTGAATGTTTTTGGTTTAGCATAAGCCCAAATATACTGTCTTAATGTTAGTTAAAGTTAAGTTTCTAGTTATTCTAGACATAAATAGTTATAAGTTGATATTACTTAAAAAAAAAAAAAAAGGAATTCTGGTGGAAATGATTTACTATAATTATATTTATCGAATAATATATTAAGTATGTTGCATTAGTATAGCCCCATTTTACCGCACTGCTTACCGATATCAGATAATTCAAACAATACAAACAAAACTGTGTTTGAACTTATTGAATTGTGCCGATTAATCGTGTTCGATTAACGTTTTTTCAACCACAAGATCCAAGTCTAACCGGTAAATATCAATTTTCTCTACCTTAATTGAAGACCTTGGGGCAACAACAAGACATGTCCTTTTTTAAAATTGTTTTCAAAATATTCTAAAAAATTTTTTTTTTAGAATTTAAAACGTTTTGAAAAAAAAAGGATATGTCTTGTTGTTGCCCCAAGGTCTTCAATTATAGATTATTGGTGTATAATATATTATACAGACCACTTGTAAATTAATTCTCTGAAGATAGTAATAATTGGGCTCTGGTCGAATTCGGAGTACTTTGGATGTTTAGTATCTAATGGACCTATTTTTATGTGTGTATTGAGAATGTTTATAACCGGATTTATATAGTTGTCCGGTTGTTAAACGTTTGTATAACGTGATCATGTTGCAGTAGACAAATAACGCATTGTCTTTATTCAGTTGCCTTCCAAGACACTAGAATTTTGACACCGAATAAATTAGCCCTCGAAAAACGTTTGTCCCTACAACTTTTTGGAATAATTGCTATTTACTCTGTTTGAATTTTGCATCTTATATCATAAGTATTGTTATTAATTTAGAACTCCATACATTGTCTAAACAGATTACCACAAAGGAAAAATAATCTTGAAACGTTTTTGGTTTTCTAATTAGTTTACACACTAAAATGTGTTGCTACAGTAAAATCGGATAAAGGAATTGTCTTTTTTAAAGCTTATAACTAACAAGTGTTGATTAGCTCAAAGGAAATGTGAAAATATATTCAGTGAAGTTAATATACGTTAGTATGTAGTTTTACTGGTGTTGTGATGCAATAAATTACTAATATCATAAAATTACATTGCAAATAAATCTAGCAAGCTCTTACTTGTGAGCTGAAACTTTTTAGATCCTAAATTGTATTTTAAATAGTTCAAACAATAGTAAACAGTCTTATAAATATTTAATCTGGGCACTAGGTCAATAAAAATGCTTCATAACGAATTTAAAGGCATCGAATGTCATTGTTTGTATTATTATGTAACCTAACCTAACCTAACCTACTCTAACATACTTAACATAAAAAATGTAATTTTTTGGATTATTAAAAAGTAACAATTATTTGGATACGCATTTGATACTTTAACAGGATAATATCAAAACTCGGTAACAAATACTTAAAAAAGAAACCGTTCAATTCTTGTAATTCTTAAAGAAGTTATTTAAATTATATTCGAAGACGAGTAAGAGAGTAATGTTTACACTAAGTTAAGTACCGTTTTGAGTGAATCCGTAAACAACACAATATTGTAAACACATAAATTCGCATAATTGTTAAGAGAGTTGAAAACGTAATTGGTACCTAATGATGTTCTATGTAGGACGAAGAAGTGAGAAACTAATTATTGTGTCTATAAGATTACATTACAAGTTGTTTTCTATACATTTAAAATACAAATGGTTAATATAAATATATAAAGAATAGTGTATGGATATCAATAAATGGCATTTAAATCAATCTGTATCTTTTATAAACGATTACCATTGTCAGAAAATGAACTACCGTTGGAAATTTATAGCGGATTTATTACAAAAATAAACCAAACTTTTATAATGGACACAATAATGTAACAAACTGATACATATATTTTTTCTGTTTGTATTAAATGTTTTACTAGCAATGTCTTTGAACCCAAATCTTTATTATTATTTTGTTTTTTAATGAAATCATTGTGTTGTGAAATGTGAAGGTAAACAATTCATCGTTACTCAGTTTTTTAATTTATTTACATTTGTAGAAATGTGTTTGCAGACAAAACTCAGGTAAATACTACTTACATGCGTCAAACAATCAAGACCTTCTACCCGGGTCAATTTATTAAATTGTTTGATTTGAAAAAATTGAGATTTTCTTGTGTATTGGACTTGGCCGTCGAATTTGTCACTGCTACGGTTATTGCAGAAATAACACAACCTATTTAATATTATACTAACTATTGGATAAAACTGTATTTTAGCTTCTATGTGGAGCTGAGAAGGTATTGGTTGTACAATTATATGTTTTCATATATTTTTTTGGCTATCTTTTAAACCGTCTTCATGTGGCAAATCTGTGGATCATAAATCGTACCTGAAAGGTTATTTTATTGGGTCAAAAATTCAAAGTTCATCCTTCCCTTTCAAGTGGAGTTCCTGGGCTTAGGTCTGGAAATTAAACCAGAACATAATGCACAATTTTATCAATTATAAAGTAGTAACATTTTTTAAATTTATTATTACTAAGGAAAACTACAAAAATGGGGAAATTACACTTTGTAGTAAACGTCTAGGCGTGAGTGAATCAACAGTGAAATTTTAATTTTATTGTTAATCATGGCATACGGGTAACAAAGGCAATAAATTATTATAGACAGAATTTTAACCCTAGAACTTAGAACACATTCTTTGGAGGAAATTATTACCACTACAATGGTTTTATCGACATTTGCACTTGTATCTTATACCGGTGGCCTCCCACCCCTGTATGCCCCATGCCCAATGTACTGGGTTTTCCCCTTGTGGTTTCTGCTCTAATTAGCATGGTTATCATTATTAAAAAATATATTTTAACGATACTACAGCCATTGTTGTTTCTACGCGAAAATAAACGTTGCACGTGTCATTTGGGGAAAACCCGGACGAAATTTTGAAGTATACAAAAACCGAAAAATTTCGCAGAGCCGTCAAGGAGACTACCCAAAGTAGTACCTACCTATATATTATTATTATATACAGGTCGGTTTTGGAGTTTTCTGATTCTTCTTCGAATCCATTGTTCAAACACAACAGTGGCGGCATTACGGTTTGTGTTTGCTCAAAAGCGCGGTCTCGTCAACGTCGTCGAGCGCAAACACAAAAATGTACACCGCAGTTTTTATTGTTTTTGTTTTATCAACTCAAACCGCGCATCGATATTTGTATGCTTTATCGATACAAGTGAAAACAATATTACCACTGCAAACACAAATCAAGTTACCACCTACCTACGCGCGTAATCGTTAAAACAAATCCGGATGTCATCATATTATTTTATGTATTACCTATCACCCGTCTCGTGACAAAGACAAAGTCCTAAGATCTAGTGTTTACCGGACGACCGAACATAGCTTAGACAATAATTGATTATTATCCCAGTCAGTCCAGAAAATCTACCATGAACTCGCCGCGGCCATCAGGTACTTACTTTTTAGCGATAATTATCATTAATTTGTCTTTGCCGAATGTATAGAAAAAATAAACCGTCGAAGTCACCGTTAGTTGGAAAAATTAATTTTTCATAACTGTATCCTCGACAAAACTATCATCATGTCTCAATCTAACAGATCAAAATCTTATAACGCGTTAAACCGAAACGAAAAAAAACCTTAGTATCCGTCAGTAAAATATATGAACATTTCATATTATTTCACACAATTATAAGGTATTACTTTGCCTGGAAAATATGGGTGCTTGTGACCGACAGAGTAATATCATACCTATAATATGCTTCTATAAAATTATTATTTAAAAAAATATACATAAAAATATGAAAACAGACATGCAGTTTCGATCAGGAATGGTCAATGCCATTTTCCGGCAAGTTGACACTCAGGAGAAACCTTTGAAAAAAGTTATTAAGAGTTAAAAAAAAAAACAGAACCGTATGCTAACATAAACGTTTTTTAAGCTCGTTTACCAAAAGTTACAAAAAGTAAAATAATTGGCCCTCCTTGGCTTAAACAACAGAAATAATTATTTTACATAGTTAATTAATTATTATTGATTTCACACAATTCTGTTCAATTAGCCTAACTAGTATGAACCTGTAAATATGAGTTCATAAAAAACATTATAAACTTAGTGTAGACATAAGCATAAATCTATTGAAAATGTTGGGGCTGTGCTACTAGTAACGACAATTTAGAAATCTAAACGTGTAATAAACAATTTTACCAAAATTTGTATTGTACCAAAATATTAAATTTAAAAATATTAAACCCTAATATGCATACAAAGCATTAAAATTAAATTGTTTAAATTTGTTTAATCGTTTTTTATTTGAATAAATAATTGTGAAAAAGAAAACATTTGAATACCGTTTTATTCGAATAATTCGTTTGTTGTTCTAATAAAAATGTGCACAACTCTGACTTTAATGCCGTCCAAACATAATATATTGACGTGACATCTCGCTAACATATTTTCCATGTGGCCATTTCTATTTCGTTTATTCAGCCATCACAAAAACAATATGCATTTTCTTTAAAAAACGGCTCCGCTGTAATGTAGTTGTTAAATTTAGTAGCAGTTTGTGCGATTACTGGTGTGTATTTTTGGGCGCATTAAGTAGTTAAATTATTAATATAATATTCCTAAACAATTATATAAATAAAGGCATAATTTGACTATAGCAGCTGTATTGGGTTTATCGCTTTATCCGGTGTATTATTTCACATCTCAGGTGGAATCGGTTGGCCGGGAACAAACGGATGATAATTATATTGTAATATTATGCGCCGGAAACGGCCATAGGCACACCGGTAGATA